ATGCATGACAGATAGATGAGGACTCAGCCATGACATGGCTAAATTAATTAGATCACTCTCTAAAGTGACCACATAGAAGTCAACTAGCAGAGCTGTTGGATCTCACCAAGGAAGGCAAAACTTATAAACCTTCTTTGGAAGAACCACCAACTCTGGAGTTTAAGCCACTGCCTACACATCTCAAGTATGTGTATCTGGGAGATAAAGACACTTTGCCTGTGATCATCTCAGCATCATTGACTGAGACAGAGAAAGATAAGCTGATGAGAGTTCTGAGGATGCACAAGGATGCTATTGGTTGGACCATAGATGATATCAAAAGCATCAGCCCTTCTATCTACACCCACATGATCATGCTTGAAGAAGAAGCAAAGCCAAGTATAGAAGGTGGAAGGAGGTTAAATCCAGCTATGAAGGAAGTAGTCAAGAAAGAGGTCATCAAGTTGTTGGATGCATGGATCATATACCCTATATCTGATAGTACTTGGGTGAGTCAGTGTGTTCCAAAGAAAGGAGGGATGACACTGGTGAAGAATGATCAGGATGAACTCATTCCCACCAGAGTGGTTAATGCTTGGAGAGTTTGCATGGATTACAGGAAGTTCAACAAGGCTACCAGGAAGAAGCATTTTCTACTGCCCTTCATTGATCAGATGCTGGAAAGACTAGCTAGATATAGCTACTATTGTTTCCTAGATGGCTATTCAGGATAAAATCAAATTGCTGTTGCAGTAGAAGACCAGGAGAAGACCACATTCACATGTCCTTATAGCACTTTTGCTTTCAAAAAAAAGCCATTTGGCCTGTGTAATGCACCAACGACATTCCAGAGGTGCATGATGGCTATCTTCTCAAACATGGTAGAAGACATCTTTGAGATTTTCATGGATGACTTCTCTGTGTTTGGGAAGACTTATGAAGAATGTTTGGAAAACCTGAGTAAGGTGTTGCAGCGGTGTATTAAGACCAACCTGGTCTTGAATTGGGAGAAATACCATTTCATGGTGTTAGTAGGCATTGTCTTAGGCCACAGAATTTTAGAAAAGGGCATTAAAGTAGATAGAGCCAAGACAGAGGTGATAGAGAAGCTCAGTCCACCAACAACAATTTGTGGAGTGAGAAGTTTTCTTGGCCATGTAGGTTTCTACAGGAGATTCATCAAGGACTTCTCAAAAATATCTAAGCCCTTGAGTAATCTTCTGGAGAAAGATTTTGCATTCATCTTTGATGAGTCATGTATAAAGGCATTTGATGAGCTCAAGGGGAAGCTTATTTCTGCTCCTGTGATAGTCACACCTGATTGGACTAAGTCATTTGAAATAATGACTGATGCCATTGACTTTGCAGTGGGAGTTCTCCTAGGTCAGAGGAGGAACATAGTGTTTCATGTTGTCTACTATGCAAGCAAGACTCTGTATGTATCCCAGATCAACTACTAAACTATAGAGAAAGAGATGCTGGCTATAGTGTTTGCTTTTGAAAAATTCAGATCCTACTTATTAGGAATGAAGGTCATAGTATACACTGATCATGCAGCCATTAAGTATCTGGTTACAAAGAAAGATTCCAAGCCAAAGTTGATTAGATGGGTTTTACTGCTGCAAGAATTTGACCTGGAGATCAGAGACAGGAAGGGCATTCAAAACCAAGTAGCAGATCATTTTTCAAGGCTTGAAAATGCACTAGAAGATCCTGAGCCAACTGCTAAAGCATTTCCAAATGAACGACTTTGGCATGCGACAGAGTCACTTGCTAGAGTGTTCGAACAGAGGCCATGGTTTGCTGATTTTGCTAACTATGCTGTCTTTAGGATCATACCTGAAGGATTTAGTTGGCAACAGAAGAAGAAGTTCATCCATGATGCAAAGCAATACTACTAGGATGAACCCGTCTTATTCAGAAGGTGTGTGGATCAGCTGATCAGACGATGTGTACCAGAATCAAAGGCACCTGCAATTTTGGAGAAGTGTCATAGCTCACCCTATGGAAGACATATATGGAGGCCAAAGAACTGCTGCTAAGGTATGAGATTCTGGTTTCTTTTGGCCTACTTTACATAAGGATGCTAGAAATTATGTGCTTAGTTGTGATAGATACTAGAGAACATGAAATATCTCCTGGAGGAATGAAATTCCAGAGGAAATGATCCTGGAAGTAGAACTCTTTGATGTGTGGGGCATAGACTTTATGGGACCCTTTGTGTCATCTTATGGTCACACACACATTCTACTTGCAGTTGATATGTTTCTAAGTGGGTAGAAGCTGTAGCAGTTCATTTTAGTGATGCTAAAACAGTGATCAGGTTCTTAAAAAAAAATATTTTCTCTCGTTTTGGTACTCCAAGAGCCACTACAAAAAAAAAGGAGCTATAGGGACGCTTTTTTTGGGACGCATATGTAGAAAGCGTCCCAATATGTAAATGTTAAGACGCATGAAAAAAAACGTCTCGATAGAAACATAGTATAAGACCTTTAAAAGTTTCCTAATATAAAAAATTAATAGGACGTTTAGAAGTATCATATAATAATTGTCCGTCCCAATAGAACAGTTTATGGGACACTTAAAAGAGTCACCATAGATGTTATTAATAACGTCCATTAAAAACGTCCCATAAAACTAGGACAATTAAATAATTAAAAAAATTACTTTACCAGAAGCAAATTTGCATGATTTTGCATATGTAAGACTCAAATGTCTCACTTCAATTTAATAGTGATCAAAACATATATTTGTATTTCCGTTTATCAGTTTTACAATTACATTATCGCACTTGATACTTTTTATAATTGTTCCCAACAAATCAACTAAATTCTATAAAAGGTCCTATTGAACTTTTAGTAATACAAGTATGACACCCTAATAAATAGTAATGTGTTTACTCACCAAAACTATTGTTTAGAATAATATGCTTAGCAGTTAAGTGTGGAATTTGATTTATAAAGTTAATAACTTACTTTCATCTTTATAATTAATTTAAAATGAATAGATTTACAGAGTAATATATCAAGGACACATAATTACATTTCTAAGTTATAACAGTAGTTTGTACATCTATACAAATATATTCTCATTTACAAAATAGTATAACTGCGTATTTACATTTGTAAGTTATAACATCAGTTATCTATACATTTTCATTTGAAAATTATATTTGTAAGTTATAGCATTAGTTATATATAACCACTATGATTAGCTCGTTACGTCTCAATGTTAATTATTGTCAACTGCAAATGGAACCAGGAATAGTGATTGATGACAATTCTTTTATTTATATGTTATAATAGATTATGTCAAATGATTCAATTGAATTTTTGTTGTTCTTACTAATAGGAAATTGTTGGAGAGTAGTATTTCTTACTAAAACTTAAGGACATCAATACATTATACATATGTATTAGTGTATCTCAGGGCACAATGAACATATTGTCTTTGTAAAAAAAGAAATATATATATATATATATGTGTGTGTGTGTTTATTAATTCTTATCATCTTTGTTTTTTCCCACAAAAATAACATCATAAAATATTGCTACGTCCCAACAAAGAATAAAACCGTTTTATTGTAATGTCTTTCAATAATTTCATTTTATTTTTAGAGGAATGGAATAATACTAAATATGATGCTTTGAATTTCAATTCAATTGTTTGATTTTCATTACTTGTAGTCGTATGTACAATTTTTGAAGAATTTTCTTTTTTGATTTTTTAAAGATAGTATCAAAAAATATAATAAAAGAAACAAAAAAGAAAATAAATTTCAACCCAAAAAAATAAGAAGACAATTAATGGAAAGAATGAGTGCGTAAAGGAAAAGGTAGAATGGCGCCAATTATTTTTCCCCCGAAGAAAAGGCGCCATAAATTCCCCCCTAAAATCCCCCCTAGAATGGCGCTAGTTATTATTATAAATTTTTTTCCCCTTTAACCCACTACTATTACACTAGAACATTCCAATCTGAGTTAGGCAGAGAGAGCAAAGGTAAGGTGTTTCTCTTCTTCTTCTTTTTCTTCAATCGGTCAATTAATTTATTGATAGTTAGGCATGAAGCATTGCAGTAGGAAGTTTTCGTTTGAGTCTGAATTGCTATATTTTGGATGCTTTCAAAGTTTCAATAACTAAGGCGTAAGCTTTCTAATTCATAATTTTGGGTCACCGATTCGGAAGGAAATTCACAGAGAAACAATTGGTTATTTGGGAGTTGTTCTAGTTGAGGAAGGGAAGAGAGAGACGCGGGACTTGGGTCTCTTATTGATTTATTTTTATTTTTTCCTCCTTCCATTTGACAAGGAGGATAATCAAGAACACACAAATCGGTTATTGGCATTGATTTTGTGTCTAATATGGAATTCATAGTCTAATACAAAAATATCTACTCTCTGTTTTGAAGTTATGGCTCCAAAAAATCCAAGACGGCTACAAAAAAAGGATTAACTCATGGATTAAGAGATGAAGATGAAATCGAAGAGTTTGAGCAGCCACATGGAAATGGAAATGTACACATGCAGGTTCCTCATCAACAAACTGAGAGCCAAGGTTAGATCGATTTATTTGTTAGTCTTTGCTGGAATTTATTTGTTCTGCATTTGTGCTATTTTATATTTGCTCATCCTTGAATTTGTGATTTGCGTTTAAGCATAGAACTTGATATAATTTCATTCTTATTGTTCGTGTATATGTTGGTATCTTCTGTTTAATGTGTTTTACGTATGTTGGTAGTTTAGTTTGCTAAACGTAAATTGAAATCAATTTTATTTTTTAATTTCCTTTTCACTTTAGTAATCTTAACTTAATGAGGATTATTAAGATTGTTGAAAGTGATAACCAATTATTATGTATAGCATCTTCACGGATTTTATCTATTAGTTTAATTTATTGAAATGCCATTTACACTGTGCAACTAGATTCTTTCTTTGTTTCTAGTGTGGCAACCTGGACAAGTAATGATAGAAATTAAAACTTCTTTACCTTATTGAAATTTTCTCTCTGGATTATCTCTAGCGATGAGTATAAGATCGAGAAAAGCAACGCATCAAGAATACACTAGTCGCCGCCTGCAAGATACAATACAAGTTGAGGAGTCTCAGCATCAACAACGACTGGAAACACAACCAAACTTGCAAAGCACTAAAAAACCCAAGAAGAAAGGTAAAATATGACATTTATTAAGCTATACATTTTAAAGCTTTTGTACATGGCAAGTAGTAAATGTTTATCATAATTAATTGCAGTTGCACCCCGAGGGCCGACCATGTTAAGACAGATGTGGACAACTGATGCTAATGCAACACGAAAAGTAATATCTGTCAACAGAAGGGGTCAACCAATCGGTCTTAATAAAGCAACATTTGTTGAGTTCTTGGGCACAATAGCAAGAAATCCTAAGTTTACTCCTCTTCATATTAAGGATTGGCGCAATGTAACGGAAGAGATGAAAGCTGATATGATACAACAAGTAAAGGTAATAGTGTTGCATGTTTTGCGAAACATTTTAAAGTTGTTATTAGTGTAGTTGTATTAATATTTCAAATTTCTTGTAGGACAAATATGATATTCCCCCCGGGTCTGAACATTGGATCTTAAAGTCCATAAGGAAGAAAAGGAGATCTTGGAGGAATACAGTAAAGACTTTGAATTTTGATGCCACACTACCAATTGAGGATCAGATAAGCAGCAAACCTGATCGAGTTACTGACGAACAATGGAAGGACTTGCTATCTTATTGGGCTGAGAAGAAAACACAGGTGTATTGAGCAAAACATGATTTTATTTGTAAGACATGCATTTGGTTTTAGTTTCAGATTTGCTACTCCGTTTTTGTTCGTATGTTTTCTTATTATAGTGTGTAACTTGTAAGAAAATGTCTATTTTCAGGAAATTTCTGAGAAAATTAAATCAAATAGAGAACTTTTAGTCACACACCCAACTTCAGGGAAGCGTAGCTTTGCTGAAAAGGAGGAAGAATTTGTAAGTCTACATGTTATTTTTTTAGTTTGCCATTTTCTTTATGAAATTTTATTTATACACTCCCTACCTTTCTTCAATAGAGACAATTGGCGGGCCATTTTCCTTCACGTGTAGATTTGTACTATGATTGCTATGGAAATTCCAAAGGCCTTCCTCCAAACGAGACAGTTGCTGCACAATTTGTAAGAAGCAATTTGTGGTTAACTTTTACTTAAAGAATTATGAATTTTCAAAATATTGGGCAATCAATGACAAATTTATTGCCTCTTTTTTTCCCCCCTTCTCATTCTGTCTCTTCCTCAATGTGTGATTGTTTAGGCTAAGTTCACAGCAGTTCGTGCAAATTTGCCTGATGATTTTCTAGACCCGATTGGTCGTGATGACATATTCTCGCAAGTCATGGGAAAAGATCCGCCTGGAAGGGTACGAATGGTTGGCTTAGGTGTAACTCCCGCCAATGTTTGGGGTGGCATTCCAAGTTGTCAGGCTTCTTATCGCATGTATATAGAATAGAAAGAAGAAATAAATAAAGTTAGAGAAGAACTAGCTCAAGCATCAAAATTAGTGATAAGTTTGCAAAAAAGATTTGATTTACAAGAAAGTGCAAATAACAGTTCCCCTCATGGTCATATGTCGGCTAGTGGGAATAACATTTCTCCTCGTGGTCATATGTCACCTGGGCAGTCGTCAAATTGGTTGATCTTCAAAAGAATCTTAAGGTAAAAATGTTCAGTTCCTTTCATTACTTAATATTAGTAGCAAGTGCAGGATAGTAGTAGAATGTATTGTTTATTTGAAGAATTGAATCGTTACTAATATGTAGGATACTGGATTTGTGATGTTAGTTTGGGGGTCTTGTACTTCTGAAAAGTTTGCAAGACAGTAGCAAAATTGTGGCAAAAGGAGTTCTTCGAAGCCTTGATCCAAATGGAGTCGTTGGAGGACAACGTCTTGGAAAATCTTGTTGTGAAGTATTTGTTGAAATGGTTATGGAGTGGGACGAAGAGATGGTTAGACCCTATTTGGATTTAACCCTTGTTACTTGGTAATTCATAGGTTCAATGCAGAAAATATTTACATCAACTCTATGTTGCTCTTGTAAAATTGAATTTGTGCTTATGAAGGTGTTTTGCATATCGTGCTATCAAATCTAGGTGATCCATGTTGATGATCAAGAATGAGAGTTGGTTTGGTGAACGCAGTAGACCATTGGATTGAAGATATGAAGATCATTCTCTTGGTGTAGTTCCTCTTGGTGTAGTTCCTATTTTGTGGAAGAAAAGCTTTGTTTATGGACTCTGAAAGCAATCGAAATGTTCAATAGTTTAGCCCTATATTATTATGTTGGTTTGAATTCCTATTTTGTACCAATTGGTTTTGTCAACTAATTGTAGAATTGAATTCTAATTTTGTATCAAATTGGTCATGACCGACTCGTTGATATGTTGGATAGTAGTATTAATTCTACTATATTTTGGACCAACTAAGTCTTGTAGCATTATTGAATTCATATTTTGGACCAATTGGTTTTAAATGGGAACTTGAGTAGAAGTGTTCAATTATATTGTGATGTTGAGAGTTTACTTGTCATTTCGATGATGGTTTTTTTTCAAGTTAATAAAAATTGTCCATAACATCATGAATTTTTTTTAAAAAAAATAAATATATTCTATTTGAAAAAGAGAGGAATATATATGGAACATATATATATATATATATATATTATATTTAAGAGTAAAGAATACGCTTATAATCCAAGTGGTAAAAAGTAAAAGAACATTTTCTACACTTGTAATCTGACAAAAAAAAGGCAATTGAAAACGTTAAAACAAGGAGTTTACCTTAAAAAAAAATGGAAAAACAAAAAGTCAAAATAAAGTGAACAGAGCATTAACAAAAAGAGATTTCACATCTGTAATAAGACAACCATTCCCTATTTTGCTTACGCTCCGCGGTCAACCCTAAATCGTATTCCCAAAGCGTAAATCGCATCTCGGCGTCTTTCTCTCTCAATCAAATTTGCAACTTCTATTTCCAATTATTTTCTCAAAGTCATTCATAGTTTGCTTAACTTTGCCCTAAATATTTATCTATCACCATCATAAAGAAATTGATTTTCCTTGATCTCATCGCATCAAGAAACTTGCCGGAGACGAATTGAGCTCTGGGAATGTAATTGGGGATTTTTTTTCGATTGAAAATTCTATCTAGCTACAAACCGGGAATTTCCAGGTACCGTTCGACCACCCCTCGTCTCTTATTTATAACTCTTTTTTTGTTCTGTGCCCTAGTTCATATGCAATTGTGGTTTTGTTATGGTTGGGTGTATAATGGAAAATGGATTGGTTTTCTTATGCTGTGTTAGTTATATAATTTTTGTATAGGTAAATTTATGTAATTCTTCTTAATTTTATTTTCACTAAGACTAGTTTCATTGAGTGTAAAATAACGATTTATCAATTCAACACCCTAATGAAAATTTTCCTTACATTTTATTAAGAGAACATGGACAAGACTTGGATGCAACTTCCTAGGAATGCGAAGCTTATGAGGCTGGGTTAGAAACCTTTCTTGATTTTGTTTTCTCTCGTACGGGTAAGAATGGAACAATTTTGTGTCCATGTAAAACATGTAAAAATGGCATTTGCCGAAGGAGGGATGATGTTCGGGATCATTTGAAGTGTATAGGTTTCATAAGGAACTATACGAAATGGATAGCTCATGGAGAACTTTCATATTATGGTGAAACATCATATGGTCGTGAAGCTTCTTGTAGTGAGCCAAATTTTGTTAACAATATGCAAGATTTGCTCAATGATGCATATAGGGGGGCGTACAAAGATGTTGAAATGGAAGACAATGGAGATGTTGGAGTTGAGGAGCCAAACATAAAAGCAAAGAAATTTTATAGACTTGTAGAGGATTCTAAAGAAGAATTATGGCCAGGATGTAAAAATTTTTCGAAGTTATCATTTTTAGTGCGCTTGTATCATCTTAAGTGCCTTGGTAAAATGTCTAAGAACATTTTCACTATGTTGCTGGAATTATTAAGTAATGCATTTCCTGAAGGTGTGAAACTACCCAATCTCATTATGAGACAAAAAAGGTAATTAGAGACCTAGGGCATGGCTACAAGAAATATGACGCATGCCCGAATGATTGCACATTATATTGGGGTAAAGATGAGGATCAAACAAGTTGTCATACCTGTAATTGCACAAGATGGGTAGTCTCAGAAGGTGATCCTACAGGAGAGAAGAGAAAGATCACGCATAAAGTATTATGGCACTTCCCTTTGAAGGATAGATTACAACGACTATTCATGTCGTCGAAAACTGCATCTTTCATGAAATGGCATTCGGAAAGTCGACCTAAAGATGGCCATATGAGACATCCAGCTGATTCTTTTGCTTGGAAATATTTTGAATTTAAGAATCCTAATTTTTCCAAAGAGCCTCGGAATGTTAGATTAGGTTTGGCCTCTGATGGATTCAATCCTTTCAAGAACATGAGTGTATCTCATAGTACTTGGCCTGTTATATTGGTTCCTTACAATTTGCCTCCATGGATGTGTATGAAACAATCTTATCTGATGATGTCATTGCTCATACTAGGCCTATCAGCTCCAGGAAATAATATTGATATATATTTACAACCACTTATAGCAGAACTAAAGGAATTGTGGGATGATGGTATTGACACTTATGATGCATCATGTAAGCAAAATTTCAAATTGCGGGCATCAGTATTGTGGACTATTAGTGATTTTCCTGGCTACGCAAATTTGTCGGGGTGGAGTACTAAAGGAGAGTTTGCATGTCCAGTTTGCAATAAGGATACTGAATCAAAATGGTTAAAGCATTGTGGAAAACATTGTTATTTGGGTCATCGTCGGTTTTTAGAAAATGATCATCCATTTCGGAGAGAGTCGAAGTCATTTGATGGGAGGCATGAACATAGTCTTCCACCTCTTAGACCAAGTGGATCTACTATCTTAGCTGATTTGGATGAGAGTGAAATAAAGTTTGGTAAACTAGTGAATCACAATCCAGATTTGCCTTTCAATTGGAAAAAAAAGAGTATTTTCTTTGACTTGCCTTACTGGAAGGAGAATTTGTTGCCTCACAATCTTGATGTCATGCATATTACTAAAAATGTTTGTGAGAGTATTGTGGGGACTTTGCTGAATTTAGATGGAAAAAGTAAGGATCATTTGAAGTCTCGACTTGATTTAAAAGAAATGGGCATTAGGGAGACCTTCATCCAATTGAAGTTGAAGAGGGATCGAACAAATTTTATTTGCTTCATGCATGTTTTACAATGGAGAAAAAGGAGAAGGAGATATTTTGTAAAACTTTGAAAAATGTGAAGGTTCCTGATGGTTATGCATCAAACATATCAAGATTTATGCAGATAAGGCCTGCAAAAATTTCTGGACTCAAGAGTCATGATTATCACATTTTGATGCAACAACTTTTGCCATTATCACTGAGGAAAACTTTGCCAAAATCTGTCCGTGGTCCTTTGATCAAGTTGAGTAGATATTACAAGGAATTGTGTTCTAAAGTTATTAATCCAGAACAAACATTCCGTATGGAGAAAGACATTAGTTTGATTATGTGCCAATTAGAGAAAATGTTGCCTCCTTCCATCTTTGACATTATGGTATACCTAAGTGTACATTTGGCTGGTGAGTTAAGAATAGGTGGACCTGTTTATTATTGGTGGATGTATCCTATTGAAAGGTATAAGTGTTATTTATTATTTTTAATTTTTTTCCTATGGTTAATGATAGTACAATTTGCATGTTTGATCATGTAGGTATTTATGTACATTGAAATCATATGTACAAAATTGGAGTCGTCGAAGGATCTATTGCAGAAGGATACATTGTAGATGAGTGCCTATCTTTTTGTTCATTATACTTTGATGAAGAAGTTGATACCAAATTCAACCGTACGAGTATAAATGATGATGATATTTGTGTGGAGAGTACCACATTAGATGGCTTTTCAAATGCAGGCCGTCCTTTAGGGAAGGGGGATGCAAAAATGTTGAGTCCTGATATATTACGCAAAGCACACCAATATGTTTTGTTTAATTGTGATCGATTGAAGGAATTCATTAGGTACATACTATTTCATTTATTCTTTCATGCAACTGCAATTGTAATTTTTAGATATAATTGAGTAGATATTGTAATGGATGTGGATGATTTGATTTTCAGTGAACACTATGAGCTTGTGAAGAGAAGAAATCCCCGTTTTTCAAAGCACGAGATTGAGCGGATCCGTAGTGAAAGTTTTGCATCTTGGTTTGTTGAAAAGGTAAGTGATATAATGATTGTTTGTTTTCTATAATTATTTTGGTAAAATTGAAATTGTTTAACTTATTTTTTTAGTTCAGATTGTGTGTTGTTGTAACATGTTACCCTCTCATATAGTAACACATGGTCGTAAAAATTCTTATTGTTGTTCACATGTTACCATCTGTAATATGTTCTGAAGTTTTATTTCTTCTTTTATATATGAATTAACAGGTGAACTCCTGGAAAGATGACGACCCTAATTTGGATGATTTGAAATTGTTAGCAAGAGGGCCAACGTCCATTGGAAAATATTACAAGAGAATTTTAGTGAATGGTTTTAGCTTTCACACAAAAGAGTTGGAAGAGAAAAGAAAAACACAAAATAGTGGGGTGGTTGTCTCTGCAACAACAACCAGTTTTTCGAGCACAAAGGATCAAAATCCTATGGTGGGAGAGGTTGCATATTATGGCGTATTGAAGACAATCCTTGGATTGAGATATTCTAGCCATCGAAAAGTTATTTTGTTCGATTGTGATTGGGTTTCATCAGGGAAGAAAATAAAAAAAGATGAAGATGGTTTCACTTTGGTTAACTTGTTGAATTTGAGGCCCCATGTCGAGCCATACATTTTGTCTTTTCAAGCAAAGCAAGTGTTTTACGTTACGGATCCTACTGAAAAAGGATGGCATGTTGCTATAGAATCAAAAGCTAGAGATGTTTATGATATGGATCCGGTTGAA